CGGATTTTTGCACTTTTTTTCGTACGTATAAGCTTCAACTTTTTATGAAATAAAACGCGGGAGACCGTTAGCAACAAAATTTCAAAAAATCAGCGACAGTTTTTGTAAATTGCACTTGCTTAATGACAAAAAAAAAAACGAAAAAGTATTCTCAAAAAAAATTCTCAAAAATCAACGGGATTTTTTAGCCGGATGAAACTTACACTTCATCAGATTATAATTGTTCTCAAGACTCAGATTAAAAGGTCGAAATTACAATTCGTGATACATATCGTTGGCTAAATGTAGAAAAGCCCTAACTAACTTCTTTTTCAAAATTTTTTTTTTGCGTTTTGTATGTTTTGGAATTTTGGCTTTTTTTTTGCTCCTGTAAAAAATAAAAAAATGTCAGTTAGGGTCTTTCTGAATTTCAGCAACGATATGCATCTACGCCATACAAATGTACATATGTATTGGTTGTTTTTTTTTTGCACCGGAAGTAACTAAATTGTCGCATCCCGTATTGTGGCAATTTATTCACCGCCTTTTAATCTACATTCGAGTGACTATTTGCATACAGTTATACAGATATACTTATATACATACATGCTTATTCAAATATGTATAGGCATACTGTGTGTAAGAACATTCATGTATGTACAAAGTACATACTAGATGTATCTTTATGCACATATTTAAATACATACATACAAATGTTAATGTTTTAAAAGGTACTGACCACGTTCAACAAGTGGCTTGTTTTCCGCTAAAATGTGTGCTAAATTCATTTCTTTGTAATCATTCGAAATATATGAGCTTGTATGTACACATGTAAATACATGCATTGATACATATGTACACATGTATGTACATTAGGGCGGGTCAATCTGTACGTGACATTTTTTTTACTATGCACGTATAATTCTAAGCAAATTTTCCAAAGAAACCATTGGTGTGAAATCAATTGCACTAATCTTTTTCTTAAAACTTCCACCAGAGGGCGCAACAGTGAAAATTTTTACATTTGAAAATTGATTTTAGACCCACGGTTTCTTCGGCAAATTTGCTTAGAATTACACGTAGACTCCTCCAATGCTATAGTCAAAAAAAGTTGGCCCGCCCTAATGTACATAGCATATCTATAAGAATGCATACACATAAACATAAAAATACAAATACTTTATAAACTGAATGAATTTAGAATTAAATTTTTTTGCGTAGCGGCCAAAAAATATCCTTCAAAATAAAATTAAATTCTTATTTTTCCCACCTAACGAATTCTTCAATGCATAAATACAAACATTGTCATACTTATGTACCTATGTACATATGTATGTATTTACATATAAAATTACCCAGTACGATCTAACCTACGTCAAAGACTTTTATACAGATGGCTCCAGGCTTGAAGGGAGAGTCGGATTTCCACTTAAAATGAGGCGCCTGCGTGGCCGTGCGGTTAGAGATACTCTTCACCAGCCAGTTTTTTAAAATAGCAGTCGCCTCTCGACAGGCAATCCGGATGTATTTCTACGATTAAAAATCTCACAAAAAACATTTAGAAAAATGTGTAAACGCCAAATATTAATTTATTTTAATGAGGCTGGAAACTTCTCGTACATACATCCATCAAAAGGAAATGTTGACCATCTAGGAGGTAGTTCGAAGCCTCGTTCAAAGTCTTCTTCATGAGTTTAAAAATTGCTCCGTTCATGCATAATTCGCGAATTCATGAAATAAAGTGCTTTGAGAAAGGTGGCAGCGCAATACCGAGAAACTAAACAGTAGGGTTGTAGTTTTTAGGCCTTTCTTTGAATTTGCAAAATCTATCAGGTATCAGGAAATGATCCACGTTCTATTTAAATTTAATTTATTTTATATTTGAACAAATCCACGTAACTTTTCCAGTGTTTTAAATCATGGTGTGCCACAACATGTTTTTGAATCAAAAAACTTCATAACCCCAGTAAACAGCTGTTTTTGAAACGTGGCGTTGCCGGACTTGCCCTTCGCGAATTCATAAAATGATGGCCAAATTCATGGTTAATATTCGTGTATAATTGAATTCACGAAATTGTGTTTATGCAGCAAATTTTAACCCAAATTCATGAAATGATTTCATGAATTGGCCTACGCATAAACGTAGTATGTAATAGGTGCACAATTGCGCTCGGCTATAAAAATCAAAAGTAATTACACCTGCGTTCAACTAATTAGAAACGAAATTCAAAATGATATTGTTTGCAAATTGTGTTTATTTCTTTATTTTTTATTATAATAACAATTTCGCAGCTTGCAAAAATGCAAAAAAAAATTATCAAATTTCAAAAAGTTGTCATGAAAATTTCCAAATTTTTATTCAGAATATTTAGAAAATTTCCGGGTATGCAGTTCTGTAGCCCATTCAATTGTAAGAACTAAGAAAGTGCATGTCTCCAGTCGTTAAAAATTACCATTGATTTTTTAGATTTTTTTTTGTGGAGGATGTTGCGGATTTTTTCATATAAAAAAAATTGTATCACCCCCCTTTGATTTGATCATACCCTCCACAAAAAAAATCTAAAAAATCAACGGTAATTAACGGTTTTAACGACTTGAGACTTGCACTTTCTTAGACTACAATTTAATGGACTACCGAACAGCATACCCGAAAATTTTCTAATATTTATTTATAATTTGAAAATTTCGATGACAATTTTCGGAAGTTTGGTTAATATTTTTTGCAAGCCTTGAAACTTTTATTATTGTGGTTTCTGTTACAGATTGAATTATAATTTAAATGAAAATTATTAAAAATAAAAAAAAATTTAAAATAATTATTTGTAAACAATATCATTTTGATTTCGTTTCTAATTAGTTGAACACAGGTGTACATACATACTTAAATATGGCGCAGGCAGAAAATGAAGGGCACACGCTCTCCCACTTTCGCAAAAGCACTCATAGACAGTCAGTCATACACATTCACAAATAAATTTTTGCGATAAGGCAAGTAGAATTTATCGTGTGCGAAGTAAACAAGAAGCAAGAAATGCAAAAATAAAACAACAAAAGCAAAGTATATATAATTAACAAATTATATCAAAACAACGATAAAATTAAACAATATATAAGTAGTCGACGGCACTGCATTAGTCATTTAGCGAATTTTTGCATTTCTCTATCTAATTTCTAAAGAGCTACCAACGGTGCCACCCTGGCCATGTCCCTTCTACCATTTTTTCAAATTATTGTTGCTTTTCCACAATAAGTTTTCACTAAAAACGGCCTCAAGCTTATAAAAACTGTTGAATATAATTGTTATAAGGCCATAAAAATAACAAAAACACATAAACAAAAACTTTATAAAAAAATCAATAAAGCAATGTTATGTCAATTGTTTAAGGACATTGAGTATACATATTTATACATACATACAGTGTTGGGCATATCTATCCTATCGGACCAAATTCAAAATGATGTTTACCACTTATGTTAATTTATTAGTTTTTAAGATATTTCAATTAAAACAGAGTTCATTCCCTACTAAATACTATTTAAAGGGTTGTTTGCAGCTTCCAAGTAAAACGAAAAATTCAAATAAAATAACGCACAAGAAATGGTAAAGAAATTTTCTACTATGAAAATTTCTTACATCAGCTTGCAGCTCTCAAGAAAAAAATATTAGGATATCTAATTCTTCAAGAAAATTTACAGCAAAAACTTAGAATCCAGCTCTTAAGAAAAATCATAAGAAATAATTTTCATTATTTCTGTTGCTTTAAAAAGCACTTTGCCTTTGCTGTAAATTTTCTTGAAGAAACAAATATACGAGCATTTTTTTCTTGGGAGCTGCAAACTGATTTAAGAAATTTTGATAGAAGAAAATTTGTTTTCCATTTCTTGTGCGTCATTTTATATGAATTTTTCGTTTGTTTTGAGAGCTGGAAGTAGGCCTAAAAGCAAGGTACATTTTCAACCAATAGAAAAAATGAAAACTACTTCTTAAGAGCTGCAAACAGCCCTTAAACCTGAGCTTCAAATTTTGTAGAACACTGAAATGAAAATTCATCAAAATTTCAAACTGTTTTCTCAGAAGTGTTTATAGGCCATTTAATTTTAGTGTAATAATGTGCAAATTTAAAGTGACTAAAATTACCGTTCAATTTTTAAAATTTTTTTGCCGAACGTGTTGCGGGAGCACTTAAAAGGGGAAAATTATAAGCAAAATTGTAAATGGGATACGAAAATTTTGGTACTTGGTCGAGTTGGGTAACTAAGCGGGGACGCATATATAGAGCTCACATTACAATATTGATTGACTGTCAACCTGTTCGGACGTATTTTTTAATCGCTCCGCCGAGAAATTAATAACTCACGTAAAGCAAAGAAAGAAAAAGAACAAAACCAACGCGAAAAGACAATACTAGGCATATATAAGCTTTCTGCTTATTTGCTTATAATTATAAACTACTTTTTCCGAATTTTCGCAATGCCGCGAAAAGTTCATCTACATGTGCCAACATACAATAAAATAGAACCAGCTCCGGCCCATCGCGCTTACCGAATAATAAAATAAGTACCAAGTGCGGTGAAATAAATCTTGCCGTAACAGAAGCTGACCGAAAGCATTCAGCTGATCGACGAAATGCGTACTTTTCGTTCGTTTCCCCAACAAACAATGCTGATCGCGATAAATCGTTCTCCCCCTCCCCCAAACCTCGTGCATTACATCTTGGCATGCACAGTCGCCAATGTCTCTGGTAGACCAATTTGTTCTAACGCAACAACAAAGCACTACGAAAATTAAGCCCACAACAGCAAAAATATGCAAATCCGTCAAAAATAGCAAAAACGAAAACCACTGACATTAACCCTCTACTGGGAAATAAGTTTGCGCGATTGTGGACAAAGCCAAACTCAAACCGCCCCTAATTTATTTACGAGAGCAAAACTGTAATGAGCTCGTGAATAAATTAATCAGCTTATTGGAGACAATACGTTCCACGTAACGTAAATTATCGAGTACAACATTAAAGAGACCAAACTTCAGATTCTAACTGAAGAAAATTACCGGTTGGTAACCAAACACCTTAATGACGATAAGAAAAACTTCTATAAGTACCAGCTCCAAAGCAGCAAAGGACTGCAAGTAGTATAAAAAGGTATAGAATCAAGTGTACCCACATGTGATATTGCTCATGCTCTAGAGAAGGCAGGATTTGCTGTTAAAAATATTGTCAATATTATCAACATAGGAAAAATCGCTCAGCCTATGTTTAAGGTTGAACTTTAGCCACCCAATCTACAACTTACGATACCTTCTACACCGAAGAATAACAGTGGAGGAGCCCAACAAGCGAAACGGTCCCGTACAGTGCACAAATTGTCAAGAATTTGGGCATACCAGAACATACTGCACCTTGGGTCCAGTCTGTGTTACCTGTGGCGACATTCACGTTTCCGCTTCCTGCAAGGCTTTCAAAGCTGATGTGGCTGTAAAGAAATGCAGTAATATCGGAGGTAACCGCACCGCCAATTACAGGGGATGGCCTGTATACAAAGACTTAAACCCCCCCTATTATGAATTCATAAGATGCATGATAAACGCTTGCATTCTGTTATTCTCTGTTACGAATCGATGTTGTCGTATGAAATCCGATAGTAAGCGTAGATGATTTGTGTTAGTTCACAATGAAAAGTGAACAAAAACCCCAGCCATTCACAACAATACATCTGTCGGGGCCTATGAAAACGATAATACGATAACTGATTTCATACGATACGCTTGCAAGCGTTTATCGTCTATCGTATGAAAATTCATAATAGGGGGGAGAGTCTCGAATGAAACAGCGCAACACAGCCGTACGCTCTTCCACCACTCCAACTAGCTCTCATGCATACCAACACCTCACGCCATCAACCACTACACCAGAAGCCTTTTTTGCCAACGCGCAGCGAGGTCCCACCGTTTCTTTTACCGACGCATTAAAACTAACAACGCAGCCAAGCACGGTGGAATCAAACTCCAATCCAGAAAATTTTTTCAAAGGAATAATACTGAGCAAATGCCGCCGAACCCTCCGCTTGTAGCATAGAGGAGTGATATTGAATCTTAACCAGTGTATGACTCTATTCATATCTACTATGCAAAATATGATTCAAAAAATTATAGCCCATTCAATTTTAGTGTAATAATGTGCAAGTTTAAAGTGGCTAAAATTACCGTTCAATTTGTAGAATTTTTTTACCGAACGTGTTGCGGGAGCACTTAAAAGGGGAAAATTATAAGCAAAATTTTAAATAGGATACGAAAAATTTAGGTACTTAGTCGGGTTGGGTAAATAAGCGGGGATGTACTTAAGAGATGGGCTTTCTTCAGATTGCGTTAAAGAAGAAAGTAGCGGAGCCATCGCTCACCAACCTCACAGCTACTGTATAAAGCTGCCAGTAGAAAACTGAAACAAGCAGTCAAACGTGCAGAGGATCGCAACTGAAAAATACTCTCTATGGAAATCGCTAAAATACTTCAAACCTCCAGTGGCTATGGAAATGCCAATTAGAACTTGGGCTCGTAGTAAGCAGGAGATAGCCAAGTATTTTTCACACCATTTAAAGAATGTGTTTCAGCCAAACTGCCCAACGAATAACTTCAGGCTGCCATGGTTAATCAAAAATACAAATGAGCTATACACACCTAGAAAGACGACTTCTTTAGAAGTAAAGGCTATAGTAAAGCAGCTTAATCCAAATAAATCGCCGGGTGCTGATTTTATAACTCCGAAAATGCGAATAGAGCTACCGAACGTTGCACTAGCAAATTTTTCTGGCCTTTTCAACGCTATCCTTAAATTCAATTACTTTCCGAAATCATGGAAAAGGTCGAAGATAATCATGATAGCCAAACCTGGAAAAGACGCAACGGATCAATAAGCTTACTGCACTGTCTCCATGAACGCAATTTGACACCAGCACACCAACTTGGCTTCCGAGAAAAACATGGTCAAATTGAACAAGTTAATTGAATTACAAATTAAATCAGAAGGTCAAATGTCCTCAGTGGGTATTGCTCTGAAAATTTCTCGATGTGGCACAAGCATTCGACAAAGTGTGGCAGGACGGTCTTATATATAAAATAAAAAAATGGACACCGCCGAAATTCCACAAAATATTTGAATCATACAAATCTAACAGAAAATTTGCTGTAAAAGTATCTAAATTCACTTCAAAAGACATGTTGATAACGGCTGGCGTTCCTCAAGGTAGTGTACTCGCTGTACTATGCTGTATATCATCTACACTTTAGATATTCCAACTAGCAAGGATATACTAACATCCACCATTGCTGATGATACTGCCTTAGTAAGTCGTAATAAATGTCCCAATAGAGTTTCAAGAGTACTAGAGGAACATTTACTACGCATAGAAGAATGGAAGTGTAAACATGCAACATTTTCACTCAGACCCCAAGTATGCCCCCCAATTAAATTAAATAATGTCAATATTCCACAAGCCAATGAGGTGACATATCTAGGAATACACTTGGATAGGAGACTAACAGCGCAAACACATATCAACCAAGATTACACAAATTAAGCTAAAGTCAGTTAGCGTGCACTGGCTGAAACTAGATTATAAAGTACTTATATATAAAACAGTCATTAAGCCTATATGGATGTCTGGTATACAACTGTGAGGTACGACCTGTGCAACCAACATTCCAATCTAAAACGCTAAGGGCCTTAACGGGAGCACCGTGGTATGTCCGCAATGAAAATATACATACGGACCTTGGTATACCGATGGTTAAATCTGTAATCGACAGCAGCAGAGAAGAATATAAAATAAAACATGGTAACCACAGCACAACAAATATAACACGCCTGAAAGAAGAGATCTACCAGCCTTTTGTTGAGCGACGTTAAACCAGCGGGGCTCAACCCCAGGGTTTAAGCTACATTATTGTAAATTAGACGTAAGATTTTTTAACTTGTTGTTAATAGATGTAAAAGAAGCAGATCCAACAAATAAATGCACGTATAATAAAAAAATAAATTGACGCATATATAGAGCTCGAATTACAATCACTTAACTCAATTAACTCGAGAAATCTGTCTTTAACCTTACGAGCTAACTTATCCATACATATGTCTCGCAACCAAAACTAATCACTTTTTGCTAGAAACGTCAGTCAATTTGTCGACTATCAGAGAAAACTGTGTTGTTTTCAATTGATGCACGATTTTTTGTTGTTGTTGCATTACCCAATAAATCTGCTAATTCAGTTATTTTCGTTTTTCTACAATTTATTAAATTTGCAATCTTTGAATCACAGCAGCGTTCTTTTAATAGTTCCGGTAAATAATCCATAAGCACGAAGGGCAAATTGTGGCGTATCAAGAACATCGCCAATGTGAGTTCTGTATGTTTCATGAATTTTGTAATTTCTTGGTTCCTACAAGAATCAATTTAAGCTGATGTTTTTTTCTCATTGCGCTTCATTGGTCGAATTGCTTGCAATCACGCGCTTCTTTTCTACAAATCTGTATAATATATTTATATTTATATGAATACCAATTTTGTACGTTTTCTTATTTTCCTACTAATGGGTAAATACTAGGGATGCCAATCCCGGGATCCCGGAATCCCGGGATACCGGTGTTTTTTTTACGTCTCGGAAATTTTGAAATATCGAATTGATAGTAAGAATTTGTTTATGAGTTTTGAAGTATGATTTTTGTAAAATGCCGTTTTGACTGCAATTAACAAAAAGCTTGAAGAAGATTTCAATGAATTTACTCATAGCGTCGCTAATGTAAACGAAACAGAGAGTTTTAAGGAAAAGTTAGATAATTTTTTAGATCAATCTACTCAAAACTTTCTCAAATCGAAAAACTTATAATTTGACCGACGTGCTGGTAAAAGAAGTTCAAACATTTTGTAATGGAGGAGATAGGGGTCATTATCTTTCTGTCTACCTTTTGACAGTTCAGCCTAAAGGTGTTGATGCCGAAATATATTTTTCATCAGTAGGTTTTTTATGTAAAAACTGCAGGTCAAGCTCAGAAAACTCCGCTTTGAATGCTTTGCTGCTCTTACGAAAATATTTTAAGTGCAATAATAACAACACCGGCAAAAAAAGGGGTGTGTGTTTTTAACCAGACCCAACTACCAACATGTATTTCGACCCGCTGAATCCGATTTTGAGATCCGTAAATAAATAAATCTTGTAAATTGAGAAAAAATTACAAAAAATTCTCCATTCGCCATTTATTTATAGAGTAGAATAAACATGTTTAGAGAAATTGTTTTAGTATATTTTTGTTTTATGTTTTTTTTTATTAATCGTCACTTTAAAAAGTACCTGGTATTTACATTATTATTTGTGATGTATACGTTCCTCAATCACATGGTTTTTTAAATGCAATTAAAAAAATGTTTTACTTTAAAATTTGTCTGATTTAATAAATATCGCTAGCGTCCAATATTGCTAAGTCCCAATTTAAAAATTGTACAGGAGAGGAAAAAACTTCGTATAGCCATTTTCTTCAAGTATTTCGCAAAACTTTGAATACAACATTTTGCCTGTTTAAAGCAAAGCAAAACTCCATACGAATCGGAGGGATTCGATATTTATTAAAAGATTTCGAACTTTTTTGGCCTTGTCGAATTTTCGGAGCTTTTTTTGGCCTTAGCAAATTTTCCTTTCATTGAATATTAACGAGAAAACATAAAACAAGGACCTTTACCTTTTCGAAACGATGCAATTTTAATTTATCTAGCCTCCTATATCAAAATATGAATTTTCATTAAAAGTGAAGTTAGAAACTCTTCACTCTAAGCTAGCGATATATGAATTTTACAATCAGTTTATGTTATACCCAATGCTAACTAGAGATGGCAACTTATATTTCGGTTTCATATACATACCTATGTACCAGGTTGTTGCGAATGTTCGCATTCGCATTCTCAACCGCGGAGCTTCCGCATTAATTTTAACATTCCCAAGTGCACCGGTAAAACGTATATCTTGCAAACAAAATAACAATTTGTAGCCAATATTTTTTGCATTTGGTCGTGGAAGTATTTCTGTAACAAAACTGGCCAATTTTGATAAAAATCTCTTCAAACATATTATTTCTTAAGCTGTATAGCCGACCAGTCTTACAAGTTCCCAAATCTACTGGACCTTTGACGTACGTCAAAGAGAACATAGTCCTTTAATAATATATATATTTTTTTTGTTTTCTGTGCTTTAAATACCTGCATTTTGATTTGCTTTTGATGTTAAATACCGTCACCTTAATTCACAAAAGCCCTAACCAGCAAATTTTTTATTTTACAGAAGCAAAAAACAAAAATCGAATCATTCATACGGATAGGGCATTTTAAAAAGTGGCAGTTATATTTGGTACCAACACTTTCAAATTTTTAGTGAAGGTGTATATTACAATATCCTACCAAAAGCTGTGCTGTTTCGAAAACAGCGTTCATTAGGGCCTTTGTGAATTAAGGTAACGATACATTGGTTTCAATCATTTCAAATGGGGCTCTTTGGGGAATTTATTTTAAGAAAAATTTTTAAAACAGTAATTTTGTTTACTCGTCGGGTAAAACTTTCCCCCTATGTCTCCCTTCTTTGCAATTTAAAGTCAAATAGTAAGCTCCTTCAATTGGGATTTCCAGCAGAAATGGGCAACGTCTGGCTATAAAGAGAAAAGGCTATAGGTCTGACCTTTAATTAGATATGAATTACGTAACTATCTGAGACCCTGATCATCCATGATTCCAATAATTAAAATGCTTATAAAAACGGGGTACTTTAAAAAAAAAAACAATATTCTGATCCGATTCGGCTGGCATCCACGACTTTTTGTTCAAAATTCTAATTTCTGCTAAATAATAATCTATTTTCCATATCCACCTATTTAGCTCGCTATAGGCACAAATTTTTCAAACCAGTCGCAGAGCAAACAAAGTATTAAAAATCAATTACAAGAACTAAATTCAAAAAAACGGTGATAACGGTACAGGTTCCGCAAATTCTGAAACAGCCAAAGGAATGAGTATGAAAGTATATATGAAATTTATACTTATATAGATATATGTATCACCAGAAAATACTGAAAATTTTCCCTCAAACAATACGCTCTTTAAAATATGTTTATGCAAGTGTTATATATATAATAAATAAATAAATTTTTTAAAGTTTCAGAAATTGTACTTTATTTACATAAAACTAACAAAGAACTCAAACATTTTTTACCGACTTCAAAAAAAGGAAGGATACCAATTCTTCGGAATATTTTTTTCTTTTTTTTTATGTGTGCTACCGCATAACTTTAGACCACGTGAACCGATTTCAATAATTCTTTTTTTTATCGGAAAGATGATACCTCAAGGGTCAATTTGGTTTAGATCCGATCATTGGATCATGAAGAAATTAACGGTACTCCTAAATTTGTATATGAAAATTGAAGTCGGTTGTGGTTTTGCTTAAAAATTATTTGTTTAATGAAAAGTTCTATAAACACAGCAAGCGCTCAACAACAGAATTCGAGTAAAAAATGAATTAACACATTCCATGGGATTTTTACACTTGTATGTTCATTTTCCTTGATTTCTGTTTTTTCACGATTGCTTAATTTTTTTAATATTAGGAATACCGAAAAAATTAACTGAACTTGTATTTTTATTATGTAGCTCATTGTGGCGGAACGAACTCGAAGTTAGCAAATCAATTCTTCGAATCCTTGTTAAGTACATATCAGTGGTAAAATCTTTTAGGCTTGCATTGCATATTTTTAGGACGATGTTTTCATTCGCAGTGAAACTTTTAAGAGCTCTCAAGAAAAACGAAAAATTCATATAAAATGACGAACAAGAATTGGAAAAGAAATTTTCTTCTATAAAAACTACTTAAATCAGTTTGCAGCTCTCAAGAAAAAATGCTCGTATATTTATTTCTTCAAGAAAATTTACAGCATAAGCAATGTGCTTTTTCAAGCAACAGAAATAATAAAAAATGTTTCTTGTAATTTTTCTTGAGAGCTGGATTCTAAGCTTTAAGATACAGTTTGTATTTGAGGTTATTATCTTTACCCACCCCTTGTGTGCGCTAATGAAATGAAGAATTGTTTTTAAAAAGCTTTAGAAAAACCTGGCTTGTAATCGCTGTTTAAAAGACGATCTAGATTCTTCAAGTGAAGATGAAAGTCAGGAGGATCCATCCGACGTTTTCAGCGACGATGCAATTCTCATTACTTTTTAAACCCGAGCGCACATGTGCACAAGGGTATTATAATTTTGTTCACATAACGGTTGTTTGTAACAGCCAAAATGAATCAAGACAGATATAGAAAAATGTATACATAAGTGATCAGAATGAAAAGAGAAGTCGATTAAGCCATGTCTGTCTGTCCGTCCGTCCGTGTACACGATAACTCAAGCACAAACTGAGATATCTCAACGAAATTTGGTAAGTAGGTTGCCCTTTACCCAATGTAGGTTGGTGTTGAAAATGGGCGAAATCAGACTGTAACCATGCCCACTTCCCATATAACGGTATTTTCGAAAAATGCAGAAACTACGATAATTCAGTAAATATTCAATCGAAACTTTTGACAATTAGTATATGAAGAGGAATTATGGTAAAAACTAATATTATTATATAATTTTTGGTAAATAGGCTTGACCCCGCCCACTTATGATGAAATGCTGTATCTCTGTAGTCGCTTCACCAATCGCTAACCAACTCAGTCCGAGCCTTGCTTCGGGCCCAACTAAGAAATCTGTTGAAAATATTTAAAATCGGACAATAACTACGCCCACCTCCCATATAACGGTAATATACCGAAACACGAAAACTGCGATAAATCAGTAGTTATTGAAGCTAATTCACTCAACATTGACGATAGCAATAATCACTTAGCAGAGAACTTGATTATTATAAATTTTTGGACAATGGGCGTGGCTCCGCCCACTTATGACCACCAATATGTATCTCGGTAATTGGTGCACCTTATAATCTTGGTACGGAAAAGCAATTTGTTGCAAATTATTCATATCGGGCTAAAACCCCTTCCCGTATAACGGTAAATTTCAAAAAATACGAAAACTCCGATATTTCAAAAACTGATAACACTAATTTACTCGAAGTTAATACTTGCAACAGTCTCTTAACAATAAACAAGACAGATAGACATTTAGGAATTGGGCGTGGCACCGCAAATACAATAATAATAATCATAGATTGGCGCTTACACATATAATAGTGTTGGGCCGAGTTTCTCCTCCGACTTGTGGCGTGCGCCTTGATGTTGTCACACAAAACGGAGGGACCTACAGTTTTACGCTAGCTATTTATGTCAATTGTTTAAGGAAATTGAGTATACATATTTATACATACATGATTGACATGATTGAGTATACATATTTATACATACATACAGTGTTGGGCATATCTATCCTCTCGGACCAAATTCAAAATGATGTTTGCCACTTATGTTAATTTATTAATTTTCAAGATATTTCAATTAAAACAGAGTTCATTCCCTACCAAATACTATATAAAGGACTGTTTGCAGCTTCCAAGTAAAACGAAAAATTCAAATAAAATAACGCCCAAGAAATGGTAAAGAAATTTTCTACTATTAATATTTTTGTCTTGAGAGCTGCAAACTGATTTAAGAAATTTTGATAGAATAAAATTTCTTTTCCATTTCTTGTGAGTCATTTTATATGAATTTTTCGTTTGTTTTGAAGTAGGCCTAAAAGCAAGGTACATTTGCAACCAATACAAAAAATGAAAACTACTTCTTAAGAGCTGCAAACAGCCCTTAAACCTGAGCTTCAAATTTTGTAGAACACTGAAATAAAAATTCATCAAAATTTCAAACTTTTTTCTCAGAAGTGTTTATAGGCCATTTAAAGTGACTAAAATTACCGTTCAATTTTTAAAATTTTTGTGCCGAGCATGTTGCGGGAGCACTTAAAAGGGGAAAATTATACGCAAAATTGTAAATGGGATACGAAAAATTTAGGTACTTAGTCGAGTTGGGTAACTAAGCGGGGACGCATATATAGAGCTCGCATTAAAATATTGAGTGACTGTCAACCTGTTCGGACGTGTTTTTTAATCGCTCCGCCAGAAAATTAATAATTCACGTATAGCAAAGAAAAAAGAACAAAACCAACGCGAAAAGACAATACTAAGCATAAATAAGCTTTCTGCTTATTTGCTTATAATTATAAACTACTTTTTCCGAATATTCGCAATGCCGCGAGAAATTCATCTAAATGTGCCAACATACAATAAAATAAGAGCAGCTCCGGCCCACCGCGTTAACGAATAGTTAAATAAGTACCAAGTGCGGTGAAATAAATCTTGCCGTAACAGAAGCTAACCGAAAGCATTCAGCTGATCGACGAAATGCGTACTTTTCGCTCGTTTCCCCAACAAACAATGCTGATGGCGATAAATCGTTCTCCCCCTTCCCCAAACCTCGTGCATTACATCTTGGCATGCACAGTCGCCAATGTCTTTGGTAGACCAAGTTGTTTAAACGCAACAACAAAGCACTAGCTTAGCAACAAGCACAGTAACAACGGTGAGCGCAGCTCTCACAACAACGACTACAACCACGCCTTCAGCAATGACAGCTGTTTACGCCAACCCCTTTCATCTTAAGTATATTTATTGATTAGAGAATTTCACTTGTAGATGTCGCTGTGATCCAAGCGGGAACAGCGGTTTCGCCTTCTGCGATCACCCAACACTCTGCCACTTTGGAAGAGAACTCCGATAAACCAAGTAAGGTCCTCTAACAACTCCTACATTGTATATACTTTTATTACAGAATTTATTGTATACACACATATATATATATATAATAAAGTGGCCGTTAGGCACTAATATATATATACATATACTAGTGAAAAGTGTGAAGTATTTTATTTCATTTTTGAGCGAGTTTTTTGCGGTTTAATTCAACCTCGAAGGACTTTAGGGATTCGGCACCTCCTCGACCCTCGTTTGCCGCGTCCCGAACATGGTCCTTCGAGCCCCGAGGTTCAGTGGTACAATTGACGTTTGTTTTAAAATTTTGTATTGTACAATGGGCGTT